CCGCCCGGCGTGTTCAACGTCGTGCACGGCGGCGGAGATGTTGGCGCGTACTTGACGCAACACCCTGGGATCGCAAAGGTCAGTTTCACGGGACAAGTAGCCACAGGCCAAAAGGTTGCGGGAAGTGCGGCGGGAGGCATGAAGTATGTCACCATGGAGCTCGGAGGCAAATCAGCATGCGTCGTTCTCCCAGATGCGGACATCGACCAAGCGGTTGACGGGGCCATGATGGCGAATTTCTTCTCCACGGGTCAGGTGTGCACGAACGGTACCCGCGTCTTCATCCCGTCATCCATTAAAGAAGAGTTCGAGAAGAAGCTGTTGGAGAAAGTACAGCACATACGACCAGGCGACTTGTTTGACCTGAACACGAACTTTGGCCCCTTGGTCAGCAAACCGCACTACGAGAAAGTGAAGTCATACATCAAACACGGCATCGAGACCGACAAGGCGAAACTGCTCTGCGGCGGCACCGAGAAGCCCTCATGGCTCGCATCGCATCCAAACAAAGCATACAGCAATGGATACTGGGTGCAGCCCACCATCTTCACCAACTGCACCGACAACATGAAGATTGTGCGCGAAGAAATCTTCGGCCCCGTCCTAACTCTGCTCACCTACGACACCGTCGACGAAGTCGTTGCGCGCGCCAACGACACTCCTCTCGGTCTCGCGGCCGGTGTGTTCACCAAGGACCTCAACCTCGCGCATCAAGTTATCGGAAAACTGGAGGCGGGGATAACGTGGGTGAACACGTGGGGCGAGTCGCCGGCTGAGATGAGTGTGGGTGGGTGGAAGATGAGCGGCGTTGGCGTTGAGAACGGACGGAAAGGATTGGAGGCTTGGGTGAAGAATAAGAGTACGCTTGTGGAGATGGGTGGGGAGGTGCCTACGGTGTTTGCGAAATTGTAGCGTGTTTATTGTATTGTACTTTTTTGTATATACTGGAACGGTCGAAATGTGAATATGAGTACGTCAAAGTGTGAGTCATGTTGGGTTTGTGGTACGATTGTCATTCGAGGGTAAAATGGTCGCTGGATAATAACAACTGCACCACCTCTGTATTTCTTCCAATCAAAAGAAAAATCGAAATGCATTGCATATGCTGCCTGCTCAAAAAACTACTCAATCCTCATAAGTCGGACATGTGAAAAAAACATGAGGCCGTCCCGTCATACCCCTATCAGCACACTATCTAATGTCTATATACAAATCCACGAGCCATAAAGACACAGTGCTCATCTCAACGGCAAATCCGTCTTCCTCGACCTCTCAGCCCACTCATCCTTATCCAGAACACTCGCATCCGGACTCGCCGCCGGCGTAAGATACTCCGCATCCTCATCGCCGACCACAACCTTGACATTCGTAACCCTCTTATTAACGAAGCCAGGATCCGGACTCGCCCACGCATACCCATTCCACGAGCCCAGAATCTCCTGCACGCCCTCAGCAAGCATCTGCACAGCCTTCCTGCGGTTATGACTCCACTCCCACGCGCGGTACCAGCGGCCAGCCTGCTTAGCCGTCTCCTCGCCGCCCTCGAGACCATCGAGGATAGAGCGCCAAACGAGCATGGTCTTCTCTAATTCGGAGCTGTTCGACACGCCGATGACGCTGACGCCGAGTTTGGCGCCGCCGACATCGTCGTTGGATTCGCGCGTCCAGGGCAGACCGGACGCCGGGTCGCCGCGCGAGCCGCACGACGCGCCCGTGGAGATCCAGGACTCGAGTGCCCAGCGGAGGGCTATGACTTCGATCTTCTCGCCGTGGCGGTCGCAAAAGTCCGAGGCGTCGCGCACGGCGGAGCGGAGCTCGCGGGACGAGGGGTGGAAGTCGCCTAGAGCGCCGATGGGCACGCCTTGACGCCGCAGAAGACCCATGCCGAGCAGGGAGGCGTTGGGCACGACTTCGACGCCCGCGTTGCGCAGACGCTGGATGCCGCGGCTGCCGGCCAGCGTCTGGTTCTGCAGGTTGTAGTTGGCGTAGGACTGGACGCAGTCGACGGGCTCGCCGGTCTCGCGGAGGATCATTTCGGCCATGTCGCCTAGGACGTCGATGGGGTAGCCGCAGATACCGATGTAGCGGACCTTGCCCTCGTTGCGGAGACGGCGCAGCTCGCAGATGGCTTCGAGGACTTGGGCGGGGGAAACGAATTCGACGTCGTGGCAGTACACCAGGTCGAGGTAGTCGGTGTGCAGGCGCTCCAGGCTGCGCTGGATGCTCTGGCGCACCCACTGCGCCGAGTAGTCGAACTCGTCCGAGGATATCCGACCGCATTTTGTCAGGATCATGTAGGAGTCGCGGGGGAAAGTTTCGCGGACAAATGGCGTCGCGAGCGCATTTCCTAGAAGTTGCTCAGAGGGGCCGTAGTATGGCGAAGTGTCGAAGGCGCGGATTCCGTGGGTGAGCGCTGACGTGACGAGGCCCGTTGTGTCGAGGGAGAAGGGGTCATGGTTGTACTGGTGGTTGAAAGTCGCGGTGCCGAAGACGAGGGGAGGGAGAATAGAGGAGAGCGGGGTGCGCACACCGTTGGTGCAGGAATAAGGTATCGCTCCCTGCTGCGAGGGTAATGTCTCCTTTGTCGAAGGGTGTTCGGTGGGTGTTGCCGCCATGTTTCTGATAGTCTCGGCTGGAGCACTGGGAGACGCGTAGAGAGCGTAGATGTTTCTGGGAGGAGTCAAGTGTTGATAGATAGATAGCGGGGTATGTATCCAACTGATAGACAAGACGGAATAATTATGGCACGGCAAAGGAACGACCTGCAACCCTTTGTCCAGATGTTTAGATTAGTTATTGGCCTCTAAGGGGAAAAAAAAACTTGGGCACATGCAGCTACATGCGACTATATTACCTCTTTTGTTACCCTTGTAACCAGTACCTCTCCACCTACCTGACTGGTACGCGTTTCCTCAGTCTCGGTCCTGCAACTTGGGTCCATAGTTGAAGTCGACTAGGTTATCATCCTTGGGATACTCCACTGTGTCGCAGCCTCCGTAGCCAGCCTTCGATTCTAGGGACGAATGCACTAGCCAGGGTCTCAAATGACGCGATTCTAATCTAGAGCGCCAAATCTGACCCGGATCAACTGCGGCGCGTGGTGCTATTTGCTGCCGTGGTAGAGGACAGTCAGAAACGGGCTGGTGTGGACAAAGGGTCTTGAGTCTGCGGGTGGTCGGCGTGGCCGGCTGCATCTTGGGCCGATCTAGTTTGGCGAGATGCGGAAACGATCGGGTTAGGTATGGATCTGATAAGATGGTTTTTTTGCTAATAATTCACCGAGTTTGCGCGCTTCGTTGCCTCCGAAAATCGCTTCTCTGAAGTTGGCATGTTGTCGGTGAGCGCCTGACTCTGGAAGTAGGCGCCGACAAGTCCTCGGCATATACGGCTTGGAAACTTGACACTTGTTTGACACTGGCTTTCCACGCGTCCCTTCCTTGGTGCGACCGAAACCTTCTGGAATAAACGACCCTTTAAGAGCACGGTTGCTGCCGTGAGATGCGCTGTTTCGATTCGTATTCCATGCTTCCTTGGGACGTTTCAAGATACTACTCAAAACGCGCAGCAACTTCATGGCTTTTCGTACATTCCGCGACTTCGCCTTAGTTCTGTGTCTGGAAGCATGGGCGAGTACGAAGCCCTTGGTCCAAGGTGAAGTAGTAGGGGCAAAGAGGAAGAATGATGGTTCTGCAGATGCTTTTACGGGGCTGTAGTAATCATCTACTAGAGAGTACAAGACGCTAAACAGATCCGCATCAACTCAAACGATTCGAACATGTGGATGGGCGTGGGTTAAATTTGCAATCTCGTGTCCAGGTTCTTTCTATTCAAACATAAATCTACTACATTGAATAGTCCTGTAGTCATATGTAGAACAATTGCCAGATGCTAAGCTTTTACGATTCCTAGGGTAGAAATTAGAGTGTTACTACTTCTATCCATCTACTGTGCTGTACATAGAACGTCTACTGCTGCCAATTGCACAAGCAGAGAAACCGCTTTCAACCTTAACATTAGAGTGTGAGGAAACCTTTGTGATCAGGAAGTTAAGTGCCAGCCTTCTTTGCTTTGCGGGCAGCGGTCTAGAACGCCTTAACCTTCTTCATCGACATCGCGAGCCAGCTCGTCCCCCCTTTCTTGTGTAGTATGTAATGCCTCTAGTCTGTTTTACTGCGGACTAGTAATAATCTGCACATTTGTCAAGGTAATCTTGATGCTGCTCTGTTCCTCCGGAGAGAAACTATAGTTCTCATCGCCTGTTCATCGAATGCCCTTCTAATCGAACGAGGCCTAATTCATGCTACCGTATTCAATCTCTGTGATCTCCTAAATGTAAAACGACGACATGCTCTTCTCGTAGATATCTAGTAACTGATTTGCGATTGATTATACGAGCCGAAGAATACTATACAAACTCGTACAATCAGATTATTAAATAGAAACGCCGTCTGCAATAAGAAAATCCGGTTTCTAAGACTAACGTAAGTTATCTCTAACTTATACGTTAAACTCCAAGTACGCTGTCGGAATCCTAGATATCTTGATTTGCGAAGTAGAGTGCTGCTTACTCTACGGGATCTAAGAAAACTCAGGAGCAATAATCTAAATTGCACACAGTTCAAATCCATCAGATAATCGATCAAAACCTTTCAAACCTTTCCTAGAAACGTTTTCTAGGAAAGTGTTCGTTACTAGAGGTTTAACCTAATACAAGTTTTACGAGTAGTTACAGTTCAGTCCTGTGTAAGAAGTCTAGCAGCACTTTACAAAAACAAAATTAGAGAAGTGTTAGAGAATTTTAGCTTAGTAGTAATTTCTTTCACTCTCTGCCTTAGTATCTCTAAAAAGTTAAAAACTCAAGCGACAGACATGAATGAAATACATACCTCCTTAAGCAGACCTCATACACACGTGCCTCTCGCTTAATCTAAAAAAGCCACCTAGGCAAAAAAAAACTTCACACCATCCCGTGCACCACAAAACGAAAAAAAAGAAGAAACTGGACACTGTGGGAATTGAACCCACGACCATTCACATATTCGTATCATTTGAATTGATGCGAAGCGAATATCATACCCCTAGACCAAGTGCCCTTGGTGTTCCTTGATGAAAGAATCTGAAATTACAATGTATATATACTCCTACATCCCTCCCAACATGCTGTGAATTTGCCTAAAAGTCACGAGCGAAGAGACAAGTGCGGTAGGCAAATTGGCACAGTGGAGCGGGGAAGGAAAGATTCTGCGGTGGGGTGGGGCGGCAGGGGTGGGCTGGGTGATTAGTGGGATGGATAGTGGGACGGGTGATTGGTTGGGCGATGGCAGCGCGGTAGTCTGTCTAATAGTTAGGAGAACACCGTGACACCATTCTTGAGGACGGAGAGTGGCATGGTATCGAAATGTATATTGTTTCAATATGGAATATGTGAGTATTCAGTCAGTGTTGTTTCGCTACTCTGTGTGAGGAATTCGGCGTCTTTTTGGTGGACGGTTTCAACACTGACGCGCCTTTTCGTAGCAGTATTATTAGCACCATGAATAACATTTGGACAAGGCTGCACTTGAATCAATCGCTTCAGGTGGAGGGCCTAGGCATTTCTACGTTGGTCGGGAGATTCTGAGTAGACGGTATTTACCTAAGGGGGTTCCGTACACAATAAGTCGGGAATCGAGTCGCAGAAGGCAGTTAGAGTACACATCAGCAGCATTTTATTTGCACTTGTACGATTGTTAAGCGTTGTTGTTCTATGTTTGAAGCAACATTAATTGATGTTAGTACGATCAAGTAGAACTTCACAGCATCACATCCTTCCCGCAATATCCTATGACGTCAATCGTGATCATGTCAAGTCATTTCATTTCATTTCGGTATCAAACCACAATAGCATGCCATGTAGGCGGTAGACACAGTCCTTATTCGTAATAACCACAAGCCTAATATACCACAACTCTCAGACCCCCATGCAAAGTATCGTACACTCCCACTCCCTTACTGTTTCGAAGTCTTCTCCTGCGCGCTCTTCTCGAGGGGGTGCTCTGGGTTGGAGCTCAAGCCTGCCTTCTGGTCGTTGGAAGCCTCCTGGGCATTCTTGTTCTCGGGGGCACCGCCTTGGTTGTTGATGTTGGTAGTGGTGGCTCCGGCCTGGCCCTCGCTCTGGCGTCCGGGCTCGGGGGATTGGCGGCCGGCGTTGGGGGCGGACATGGTGATTGTTTGGGTGGGTTGAGGTCTGAGATGGAGTTAGGATGAGTGCTACTGGAGTAGTGTATGTGCGGAGTAAGGGATATATGGTGGTGAGAGGTGGAAGTCCTACGATTTGGGTGGAGAACTGGAAAGTGTGTATTAGCTTTTGCTTCAAGCAGTCGAAGCCATGGAAAAGAACTTACAAAAGTGTTATTTCAGGTTCGAGAAAGGTCAATTGGCTTTCTTAGTATTGGTATCTGGGAATTCGATGAATGATGAAGGTCGCAGTCTCAGGGCGCGCCCCTCGCCTTTTGATTGAGAAGCTGCCCCACGCGCGACGTCATAGTAAAAACAGTCTTGGCATCGACGTCAATCCTATCAAAGTTAGTAGGCGGTGACATTCGTCAGCGAAGGTATTGATGAGGTATTAATGAGATGCGTCCGGTGTACTGTTGATACCCAAACATCCGGTGACTCTCGGTGATGTACATCTGTGTAGCACGTTGGGCCACTTTACGATACCCTATACAAGCTCCTTAAAACTAATTGTCATACATTGTATTCTACAAACGAAATTGGACGCTATACGAGTAACACTTGATAATATACAAGCCATTTCAATGAAGCTTCCCCATCTCCACATCTCCCTCCCCTAACTCATCATCATCCCATCCCGTCCCCTTGATTCTCTTCCCAATCCACAACCCTATTGCCGTCCCCGCACTTGCTAGCAAAAACCACCACTCAAACCATTTCTCCGTGAACGCAGGCTCCAGCGGCGCTCCAAGCGCATCGTTTATCGCACTCTTCATTTCCACAGGCAGATTACTCCGTAACAGCAGTGCGGAGCTGATAACGTACGTCGCTGCAATCTGTGAGATTAGGAGCGCAAAGTTGGCGCGCGCGTGGTGTAGGACGCCGGGTAGTACCCGGGCGAAGAGGAAAAAGGTTTGGACAACACTGTTGAAGGAGGCAAGAAGCATGATACCAGAGAGAAGAAAGGAAATTGTGCGGCTCCAGGCCACACGGTCGATAGTGGGATCCCAGTGCTTGGCCAGCAGTGCCAAGAAGTTGTTTATAGGGTCGGTGTTGGAGAAGCTTGTTGTGGTTGGGGAGGAGAAGCGGCGGAAGGTGGTGAACGTAGTCGCTGCGATGCGATAGGCACAATACAAGGAGAAGGAAAAGGAGAAAAGATTTAGTAGCCGACCGTATGCGGTATGCATATGTAGCTGGGTTTGACGTCGAGATTGGAGTACTGTGAGAGAATTTTGGAGAGTCGATCGCATCGTGTGTAGACCTTGGATCTCTAGCTGGAGGGTGTTGCGCTCGGTCACGTCTGGATTCCCGCGTATGCTGCCGACTACACGGGTCATGAAGCCTTCTTGAGTATCCGAGAGCTTGCGTTCTACGGCTCGCAAGCGACTCTCTTTCGTGAGCAACATGTCGTTCGTAGCGGCCAATCCTCCCTCTTTCCGAGCAATGTCCGACTCAGTGACCTTTGCATGTCAGAATTGCATCATCATGTGGTGTATATCACTTACAGGGCGGTATTTGACGCCAAAAGTCTGCCACAGCGAACTCACTGCTGCAAAGCCAGCGAGAGAAGCCATCAGACTGATACCAATCACTCCGATTCTCTCCAGACAACCTTCGCTAAACGTATGGGTATGCAAATACGTCTCCTCATGCAAATACGAACCCAGCAGCCCTCGCCCCATGTACCAGAATCCAGCCAGCCAGAGCGAAAGGCCGGATAACTCCAACGACCAAGCTACCCTCCTCTGCGCTCTCTGGGACCCACGAAGATTCCACCCCGCATTCGAGATAACCGAATGTATGATCAACGCAGGCGTAGCGATAACGAGGAGAAACAATAGCGACGGTAGCGTGATCTTGAGCGCTAAGGCGCGAGTCGCCGGATTAATCGTATTGGAGATCTCGCACAGGATAAGCTCGACGAGTACGGCGGACAGGGCGATATTTGTCGAAAAGGTGAGACTTGCGAGCCCACGCGCTGTCGGACGCAGTCTCTTGACTATCGACGATTTTGCGCGCCACGCGAAGCCAGAGAGCTGCGCGCCATCCTGATGGCTCTTGAGATGCGCATGCCCCGACAACAGCGGAAACAGCTTATGCGACACAGCAACCGCGACAATGAGGAACGTCAAAACAAAAGGAAGGGCAGATATCGCTATCGTAGCCGGTGCTCTGCGTCTGGGAGCCCAGTCCGGGACGCAGGCGTCGCAATCATCGTCGGTGGGAAGCATTGGACCGTATGCGCGGGGTGAAGGTGCTCAGGCGTCACTGTTCGGGAAGAACTGGTATGTGCGCATCCATGGATTCGGCTCGTCGATATGGGCTGGCTGAGGGCTCTACTACCACCTAGGGACATGGCAGTCAAATGGGAAGTGGTTTCAATGTGATCTGATGTTCGGCGTTCGGACCACGTCGCCAAGCGGGACCCCACGGGTGCCTCAAACGTCATCCCCTCAGGGCAGTGAAGATCCGCGCAAGGGTACGGCTCCAGATTGCAGTCTCCGAACAGGAGGATCGAACTACCTGTGTCTGGCCTATTTAAAGGTGAGACTGCTTCTCGAGAGATCATCTGTACTGTACAGAAGAGCGAAAGTATGGGCCTCTGCATGCTCCTTGGATGGGTTGTTGAGAAGAGAAATAATATAAGTATGGGCCTCTATATGCCCCTTGGAGGAGTTGTGCGTGTTTTCAAGTAACACTATTGTGGGACAAAGTCGCGTCTATCCAACGGGATTATCAGAGGAGGCTGTGTGGAAGGCATAAAGCGTACACTTTTGATTGGGACATGTCATCATCTACCTAGCATAATTCGCATAAACAATACACGTCTTTTGCACCGACCAAGTCCTCTAAGAAAGCGACTTGAGCTCTCCATCCTTGAGCTTGCCGGCGCCGACCAACCGCTTCGTTTCGTCCTGGAAGATCTGTTTAATCTCGGCGGCATCCTTCTTGCCGTTGAGCTTGCTTGTCAGAGCCGCAAGCTCCTCGTTGTCGATCTTAGCGATGATGGAATCGACATCGCCGAGAGCGCTGTCAATCTGGGAAGCGGGGGCATCTCCAGCGGCGTGGAAGTAGTTGGCATCCTTCACTGCACCTCGGACAACTCGCTTGTTTTTCTTCGCAGCGTTCTTGGCAGCCTCCTTTGCCTTCTTGCCCTCGACCTTGGATGCCTTGTCAGCAGCCTCCTTCTCCGCCGCAAGTCTGGCTTCTTCTTCCTTAGCCTTCGCCGCCTCCTCAGCAAGACGCTTCGTCTCAGCCTCCTTGTCGAGACGACGCTTGTTCTTCTGGGCATTCTCTTGCTGACGGAACTTCTTTATGCGCTCATCTAGGGCTAAGCAGTCGTCGACAAGCTTCCTCAGACGTACAGTGTCCTCGGTCTTCTTCTTGCGGCGGGAGTTCTGGTTCTTTCGTTCGACGTGACGCTTCTGGTCACGGTTCTCGTTGTCGTCGGGTACATCTTCGTCGAGGTACTCAAACGTGCGCCAGCTGTCAAAGTTGTACCAGAAGTTGTAAAAGGTCTCAACTTCCTCCTTCGTGCTCTTCTCGTTGCCGAGCTTGGGGACGGGGCGGTTATTCGAGAAGCGGCCCTCAGACTCAAACACTTTGCCCCACAGCTTGTAGAAGTTGCCCTTTTGTGAATCCTTCTTGGACGGCGGCTCGACCTCGGCGGCCTCGTCAACGGAGTCAAACTGTCGCCTCTTGACTGGGTCCGAGAGCACCTCGGTCGCCTTCTGGATACACTTGAAGAATTGGTCGTCCTCGGTTCCACCGGCAGCCGCCTTTTTGTCGGGGTGGTGCTTGAGCACCTTCTTGCGGTGGGCACGCTTGATCTGGTCCTCAGTCGCGCGCCAGCGGTACTTGGTTATGCCCAAAACAG